GCACGAAGTTTGGCGATCCGGCCCTTGTGCCACATGGTGTCAAAGGCCTTGGAGAGGTCGAAGAAACAGATGCAGGAGACCTGCCGCTGGTCTTTTAGGGAGCAGAGGTCTTGGATTATGCGGGACAATTGCAGGGATGTGTTGTCCTTACTACGGAAGCCAGATTGTGCGGGGTGAAGAAGAGGGGAGATATGGTCGTACAAGCGGTCGTACACTATTCTCTCTAGCAGTTTGGAGACGCAGGACAGGAGGGAGATTGGTCGGTAATTAGACGGGTTGTTCTTGTCGCCTTTATTTTTGTACACTGGAATGACAGTGGCTGACTTCCATCGTGACGGGAATCTGCCGGAGGAGAGGGAAAGGTTAAAAAGAATGGAGAGTGGGCGGGCAATTGAGTTTTGGGAGTAAAATTTCCACGCCGCTCGTCGATTGTTGAAATCAAATCGAAAGAAAGGACTCGTGTGCCAGAACGAGTCATCTGCCCCTGATTCGTACAGAACAAGCTGAGATTGCAGCGCGAAACGAGACTCGAACCCAGGCACCCGAGTCGATCACTGACTCGTACTCATTTACGAGTTGCTAAAACTCTCTACTACCGTAGTCTGTAGAATTACTTGTATGGTAATAACTATAATATTCAGTAGCTCAGTAGCTAGCAACGCACTCCGAGTTGTAGTAGTAGTAGTCTACATGTAGTAGTGCTTTGAGGATGTGCTTTTGAAGTTTTGTATTCAGGAAGACGATTACTTGTATGACTGGTACGTGGTAGTGTGCACATTTGCGTCATCCAGGATAAAACAAAGCTTAAAGTTTATTGTAAACTATCATTACGAGCCCAACAGAAACGGCAACAAGAACTGCGATTTTGATCCTGAAACCACCTGTTCAATGACAGTCATGAACAAGAATATTAGCAAAGGAACACCAAACGTGCACATGCGCTTGGTTACAAGCTCGGGGGGGGGGGGGGGGGGTGGAGGGGCACTATTCAAGAGAGGGCTGTATTTTTTCACTGGTTCTTAGAGACTGGGGCACTATTCCCGATAGGGCACAATTCAAGAGAGGGCTCTAATCGCGCGTACGGTAATAACAATAATGACGAATAAGTGTACCAGCTAGAAATCAAAGTAGTGTGAATGTAGAGATTGCACCTCTGCCTGAGGTGCTAGGCATGGGGTGAGAACTGTTAATTTAAAGGGGAAGTTAAGAGACAACGACGACGCACACATGCTCGCTTCTAATCATCAGACTTCATGAAAGCCACAATGATAGAGTGATTCATTGGCTTGGCATGCCGGTGGCTTGCGGCACAGGATCTCCTGAGACTCAGCAGGAAGATGCGGACATACGGAACTGTACAGGTCATCCAGCCGGGCATGACTCAGACCTGCTGCTGGCTAGACTGGCGGTGGACCTGCAGCTTGCACAGCTTCTGGGGTTACGATTAGAATCTTGCAGTAAACTGAAGCACTAAAAGTAAAAATGATTGAGATGATTGAGTTTCGTAGAGTCACAGATCCCTTTCAGCAACGACTCCGAAGCGACATCCAGAAAATCAGAGCATCACCGGACATCATCGTGCCAGCTGACAAGACCAGAAACCTCTACGAAGTCAACAAAGAGCAGTACACAAAACTGCTGAGCAACAACATCACCAAGCATTACAAACCTACACCGGCAGAGACTTACGACCAGATCAACTCGGAAGCTCAGACAATTGCTGCGACGCTGGAGCTGGACGACAGAATGGATGCAATGGCGAAGAAGGACGCATACATCACGCTGAAGGATCATAAAGACAACTTTTCCCGGTCCCTGCCATGCCGGCTCATTAATCCCTCAAAGAGTGAAATCGGCGTAGTCTCGAAGTCTATACTGGATACCGCTCTAAAACAGCTCCGTCCCCAGCTGCAGATTAATGCATGGAGGAACACGGCAGCGGTGATAGAGTGGTTCTCAAGAATACCAGAGAACGAAAACTGCATATTCGTGTGCTTTGACATCGTAGATTTCTACCCCTCAATCTCCGAAGACCTCCTCCAGAGATCCGTCGAATTCGCCCGCCGCTACACGGACATCTCCCAGGAGGAGGGTGACATAATATTCCACGCCAGGCGATCTCTGCTGTTTGGCTTGGAGAGGCACTGGGTGAAGAGACACAACGAGCACTTTGACGTCACAATGGGATGCTATGATGGGGCTGAGGTGTGTGAGCTTGTTGGAGCCTTCGCCCTCGCCATGATAGCGGACGTGTTCAGCGGCCGAGACGTCGGGTTGTATCGCGACGACGGCCTGGCTGTGTTCAGGAATGCATCAGGACATGAAGCTGACCGAATAAGAAAGGAGATGAACAAAGTAATCCAGAACCTGGGACTGAAGATAACGATACAGACAAACCTGAAGAGAGTCGACTTTCTGGACGTGACATTGGACCTGACCACCGGAAAGTACTGCCCTTACCGGAAACCGAACGACAAGCCGATGTACATCAACTGCCAGTCAAACCATCCACCTACAATCATCCATAACCTACCTGCATCGATCAGCAGAAGACTAACAGATATTTCCAATGATGAAGACGTCTTCATAGATGCGACCCCGATCTACAGTGACGCGCTGAGGAAGAGTGGATACCGGGAGAACGTACAGTATTTTGACGAGCGTAAAACGGACGAGACAAAGAAGAAGAAGAAGAAGAAAAGGAATCGCCCTCGGAACATCATAATGGTTCAACCCACCATTTAGCAAGAACGTCGCCACCAACGTTGGACATCGCTTCCTCCAGCTAGTGGCCAAACACTTCCCCAAAGGCTCAAGCCTCAACAAAATCTTCAACCGGAACTCTGTAAAGGTTAGCTACAGTTGCATGCAGAATATGGCCACTATCATCAAGCAACACAATAACACGATTCTACCACCCAAGAAACAAGCTAACGGAGGTGACAACGATACCAGGACTTGTAACTGTCGGGCGAAAGACTCGTGTCCACTGGACGGAGCGTGTCTAACGGAGAGCATCGTATATAAGGCAAGAGTCACCGCAGGTATGGAGAAGAAGGAATATACTGGATTAACAGCAACAACATTCAAACAACGCTACTATAACCATCAATCCTCATTCCGCCACAGACAACACGAGAAGGACACCCGCCTATCGCAGTACGTCTGGACCAAAAAGGATGAAGGGAAGGCATGCAGCATTCAATGGGCGGTACACCGCAGAGCAGCGGCCTACAGCAACAAAAGCAAAAGGTGCAACCTGTGCCTGGCAGAAAAATTGGCAATCGCGCAAGCACCCAAGCACCTCTCTCTCAACAAAAGGCAGGGGCGGATCCAGGGGGGTGCGAAGGGTGCAAATGAACCCGTCAGGATTTTTCCAAAAAAAAAAAAAAAAAAAGTAAGGCCAGGCCCAGGCTCGTTGTACTATACAGAACAGGGGCGGATCCAGGGGGGTGCGAAGGGTGCGAAGGGTGCAAAGGAACTGAACAGCCGCCCTGAATTCTGACTAGAGTTGACATTGTGTATATAGCATGTACATAGCATAATCTGTGTCTGACTGAGAATCATACCGGTAGCAGTCGTAAATTACTTGTAATTTTTTGTTATTCAATGTGTAACTAATCATACTACTCATCTTGGTGCTATGTGTAATTATGATATTATACAGTAACACACATAACATACTATGTCTTTGGTTTACTACTGTAAAGAAAATAATTATGTAAGTTTCATCCTCGCACCCCTCAGCTTTGGGGTCTGGATCCGCCCCTGAAAGGAGTGAGCTTGTGTCGAAGTGTCGCCATGAGAATAGGTACTACCTTCGGAACTTTAAACCAGCTACAGCCATCACCTACTTAAGTAAGAGACAACCAGCTCCAGTGGTTGTCACCTTTCACCACTGCTGTCATTCACGCTTTGCACTGCCGCTATTTACACTTTGCTTTGTGAGTATATAAACCAATACTGATCCAGATTTCCAATTACTGTTTTCTGATGATCGCTTAGTGCGTGAAACTCTGAGTAAAAACACTTCCTCTTTCCTCCTATTGTTTCAAGCACTAAAAGTAGATTTTTCCATGGACATGATGCCTGGTTTGCCTGAGAACGGTTTTATTCACAACACCAATTGGGCCAATCGCGTGAAACCATGAAGTAAGAGTCAAAGCAAAAAGGCAACCCAATTTCGGAAATACACAGAACACTCGAAATAGACAAAGAACACTCGAAAATAAAATTGAACACGAAAGCTTCACAAGAAATCGTTACCTAATACGATTGCCTACCGGCATCCAAAGGCAAAGTCACGCCTCTGCCCGTGTCAGCACCACCCGCGGCAGTATGCTGCAAAGGGGCTCCCGACCTTTCGGCGAATGTAAGTGGCCCTGCAGCCCCTAAAGCACGTGATTGCCCATCGCAGCAGGCAAAATGAAACCTGGGTGTATAACTCACCCATCACGGCAGAATATACCAAGTCTTTGTTTTTGTCTACAACCAGAGTAGCTAGCGACTTCAGAAATATAGTAGTTTCCTTGCCCGCCACACCCGAGGTCGAAAACACCAGTCGTGTGAATGACGCTCTCTCCGCCTGGTTGACTCTGGCACCATACGCCGCCTTCTTCATTCTCTCGTGTGTTCTCAGGCGGCTAAGGATTTCCGGACGAGACAGCAAGGACGGCCAAAGGTCAATGCCTGGTTTGGTGCTGTCAAATCTCAGATGTAGTTCTTTGATGCCTTTGATCGGTCGAAAGAACTGGCTGAAGAAGTTGTCCCACTCTCTCCATTGCAGATCAGAGCCCTGGACAAGTTGGGCTTCGTTGCATGATGCACTGCTATTCATCACCTGTTGATGTAGCGAGGAGCACTCACTTTTTCCAAATTTTTGCTTAAAAATGCCAAGGCACCCGTCAACAAGACAATGGGTATGACCGGTAATCATGAAGCACAACTTGCACAAGATGATAGCTTTGTGATGGCCCTCCAGGCCAGGTAAGCACAAACTGTCCGATTCCGAGTATGGCGGCCATTTTGCATTGACTCATCCATGACATACATGTACTGTACACTACAATGATGATTACAAAGCAGAAAAAAGAAAAATCCGAAAACCTTTTGCAGAAATCACGATGAGATACGAGATGCTTGTACACTGTGGGGTTTTCTACTGTAGTTCTTCTACCTCCACCACCTGCGCTCTCTGGCAGACCTGGAGCACACCAGCAACACGACTCCAAGCTGTAGCTATCAGCAAATAGAAAATTCCTTCACACAGCGCTGTTCGGATCATTTTAAAAGATCTGATAAGTGAAGGTTAAGAATACCGAATGGCTAGAACAATTATTTTAACAGCTTAGCAGCTGCTCTCCCTCAAATAAATTGTGATGATGGAGCAAGTGGAGCAGAACAACTTGTAAAAGTCAGGTGTTGTTGTCCCAAGTAAAAGTTCAGCGACAATATTGATGGCGTGGACAAAGAACAGAAGCATCGAAGTATTTTATTTTATTTTATTTTTTATACGAAAGTCCACTATATTCCCGAATATGTGCGAGAAATCAGGAATCAGAAGAATACGACGAGTGATGTTGTTGAGTTTAGTTTAAAGTCGCAGCACAAACTGCCGGTAACGCCTTCTTTGATACATGTACATGTAAGCGAAGGAAGCTCTTACTTACCCTCGAATCCTGTTTTTTTATTTTTTTGGCATACTGAAGAATCACACACTCAACTTACATGGGATAAAGGACAAAAGAAGATGTACTGCATATATTCATATGCATGTTTGCATCTTTCCCTCAAGCCAATGAAAATGTATGTATGCGTGTGTGTTTTTCTTTGTTTACTGGATCTGAACATTATGCGTGGGTTGTTGTACTAGATAATAAACTGGAGCTTGATGGTCCCGTGCTGCAGGTGCCTGGGTTGTATATTGTACAGCGCACTGGGCAGCACTAGCGGGTGCTGCCATTAGTGAAGGGGACCCTGTCGCCGCTGTCGCCGCTTGGATAGCATGGATGGCACCAGGAGTTGGGGGTAGGATCTGCGGCGGCAGCGACGTGAGTACAACAGGTGCTGGGCCTGGGTAGGAATGCTGCGGCTGTTGCACTGACTCCACTTTCACGGCGTAGTGCGGCGCTGCTCCAGCTGCCATTACCGCTTGAGGCTGTCCTGGAGCGGCACTTGGTAGGATAAACGTTTGGTACTGCGGTGCTGCGGTGTACAGGTTGGTGGCACTGCTGCTTCCGCCGTTCAATGCCTGTGAAGTCGATACCATGGTGGCCACCTGGCGTCCGGGGGCGGGAGGATTTGCCTGAGGAAATACATTTACTGGTACTGGCTGAAGTGAACCAGCTGGTACGATGGTGGCAGCGTTCAAATCAGGAAGAGATATAGAGCTGCGTTGAAGTTGACTATACTGTCCGATAGGTGTTGTAGAACTGGACAGAGATGTTCCACTGCTCGTCCATCCGCTTGCGGACATTGCTGTAGGAAAGTTAAAAGCACTACTCGCTCTTGTCAGTGTTCCAACTGGCACTCCACCAGCTGGTGCTCTGGAGCCGCGAGAGGTTTGATATGGCGAGAACGGGTACCGCCGGTGGTCATAACCTCTCCCATTCAGGGAGTCAGGTGGACTATCCGGACCACTCTCATCATCATGATTTGTGGTGGGAACACGGGAAGTGGCAGAGATGGTCTTTGGTTTGCGCTTCGGCCTGTATTTGTAATCCGGAAACTTCTTCATATGTTCTGTTCTGATGCTTCTGGCCTTATCCACGTAAGGCGCACGCTCTTCCTCGGTCAGCCGCTTCCACTTTTCGCCGAGCTTTGTTGAGATCTCCGAGTTGTGCATCTTTGGGTTCTCCTGTGCAAACTGTTTCCTTTCCTCCCTTGACCACACCATGAATGCGTTCATAGGTCTTTTGACATGTTCGGCTGTCTTCATCTTTATCCGCACTGTGTCTGTCTGGTCTGCCACACTGCCAACCCGGACATCCTGATATGTAGAGCAGGACAAAAGGAATACAAAATACATGTGCTAGTTAGTCTTTGAAGGCTGAGGAGCCTCGCTATGCTTTGTTCTTGCCTAGGTCATCATGTGTGTTATTCGAACCGATAGAAACGTCTTTGCAATACGACTATTGAGTAGGACGTTTCCATCGGTACTATTGGGTACATCTTTTTGTATTGCAAAGACGTTTCGATCGGTTCGAATGACACCCATGATGACCTACGCTAAGACAAAGCATAGCGAGCATCCTGAGCTTTTTTTAAAGTTCTCTCGAGATGTTCTTACTTCAAGTATTTTATTTTGCATGATGACCTAGCAGAAAAACTAAGCATAGCGAGTGCTCTGAGCTTTCAAGCTCTCTCGTTCCTTTTTCAACAATAAAAAACTTAAATTTCGGATATTTGTGCGGATATGCTTGTGCGTGTGGGCTGGCACAAGCCATGCAACTAGTTTCACCAGGTCTGGTGCGCTATACCGTACATATAGCGTACTGTGGTACCTAAACAATTTTTTTGGTTGGGTATGACTCCCTGATCCATATATCCAAAAAGGGTTTTCCACCCATATTCATAAGTTGAAGGAATGATCATAACGTGAAGCAATTTGGTAGAAGGTGCTGGATTGTATGTGAGGTGTATGGAGGCACTTCATGCCGCTCATCATTGTCAGTTCGAGTCTCATTTTATGCGTGGAAATAATTTGAAGAAAAGAAGGGAAGGCAAGGGAGAGAGAGAGAGCCCTTAGTGGGTAAGGCTCGACAAATTGGCAGATTGAAAGTGGCAGATCTATACAAACCTTTAAGTATGCTCCATTTCTTTATCCACATACCAAACATGCATGAAACATACCAGAAAAGTACCAAATTCTGTCAATTATTCCGCCGGCATGATCCGACTTAAATAGGACTGTATTGGGAAAAAAAATATTTGGTTGTCGCCAGATATACATATACATGTACATGTAGCACACAGTCATTTCCCGAGTACTAGTAATCCCTTACCGCTATATTAGTACGGCTAATGGACGTCGATGATTGGGCAGCAGCAGCAGTAGCCGTGATTGAGTGACCACTACAAGTTTGTAGACCGGTCTGAGAATGGATGCACAACGACACAGCAATATCTACAATTACTACACATACTGATAGTTTCACAAAGGCAGAAGAGAACAAAGACAGCTGGCTAGGTCATTGTAGTAACGCTGCGTTTCATGCACATAGCAAAGCTAAGGCAATCCTCAGACTAGACAACTGATAACCTAATTGTTAGATTGACAGCATGAAACAAGGAGGAGGACACTGTGTTCGAAAACAGTGACCTTACTACAACCTTCCGCAGTTGGCAGAGCCCCAGTTTTTTTATTTATTTTTTTTTTTTTATTTTTTTTTTATCACATTGCACATACCTACGGAAGAAGTTCCCCGCGGAAGGTTGTAGTAAGGTCATTGTTTTCAAACACAGTGTCCTCCTCCTTGTTTCATGCTGTCAATCTAACAATTGCGTGAACTACAACAAGGTTTATCTAATACTGGTTTACCAGTTTTGGATTATATCAAACTGATAACCTTTACATCATCTGGGTCCAAATTTATACCCAGGCAGGTAGCTAAAACAGGGCGCGCAAAATGAGTTAAGCGCGAAAAAGCAGGTGGCATAGCGCGCAAAGGTGGCAAAAGCGCGAAATTAGTGTGACATTTCAAGTTATACGTTAGTTAGGGAGACATGGTGCAGATGGTGTCGGTTATTACATGGGAGGTCAAAACAGGAGGGAGAGAAGGAGAGGTGACAGTCAAGTTGCAGTGACAGCAGGCAGGCCCTGGCCTGGTGGCGGAATGCAGGTGACGAATTATAACTTATAAGTGACGCCAGTGCCGTAGCGCCAGAGGTAGAACTTATTCTGGTGTCGACATTTTGATACTAATTCTGATTTTTTGTTGAGGAGCGTGGCTGCGTGACTGCGTCAGCGCGGATGATTTTGACCTTTTCCGCTAAACACAGGCCGTATCTTTTTGAGATGTTGCTGTAGGTCTTTGCTCTGTCGACGATGGACCACCTGATGTCTTACTCTTCACCCTAATTCTGCAGTGCCCACAGGTGCTTCGACAGCTGCATGCTTTTGCAGTACTTTTCGTATCTCATAGTCTGCAAATACCACAAATAGGTCAATAGGGCTGTACCAATGATGTAACTTTGTAAGGACCTGCCTGTCCAACAGGCAGTTGCCGTTGTCTGCAGACAGTGTCGGTCGTTCGGATCGTGGGCGATGTCCCAAACATTGACGGCGACTAGGTGGAGCCAGCTGGGTCGCGCCAATAGTAATAGTTATGTACTCTTGGTCGCACCAACATACATGTAGTTAGCCAATGTTTCCTTCCTTGGATTTGTAAGCAACAGCCGTCACATGATCAATCTCGACATGCAAAGGTACTCCCATCATGCCATGCACTGGGGTTTGCAGACCAAGGCACTCCGCCCACAAGCAGTAGATGAATGGAGTTTAGCTCCTGCATAGTCATGTGGCTATGGTTGGCTGCTGTGCATGGGTCCTGAGCTGGTGGGCTATCGCACAATGCGATGGCACCTGTGAGGTGACTAGCTGGCCATCCCCGACTGAAAAGTGACGGACCCAGTACTGGAGACTTGTCAATTGAATCCATATATCGAGGTTGCACATCCCAGGCTGTGGAGGTCTATCCTGCAACCACTATATTCTGTAATGATCGACTGTGAAGCTGGGCTAGCGGGAAGTCCAGACGCTTTGCGATCAGGAGCCTCCAGTGGCTTGGTGATGTAAGAGATGGTGAGCCTCATACCTTCCAAGGACTGAACCAGCTACAAGCCAGACTTGCACAGGTTCACATGGAGCCCGAGATGCTCCAGGAGGCGGATCGTTGCTTGCACTTGGTACAGGGGCCAGGAAACACAGGTAGAACTGTACTTGCGAAACAACAATATGAGTATGGCAGAACGGCATTAAGTTATGGGCGTGACTCTGGGCATGAAACAAAGCACTCGCTGGTGCTTGCAAACCCATGTGACCATCGTTCATCACCAATGGACTAATGGTTAGAGTGTGGCAAGGCCATCGACGGGGCCTGTCCACTGGCGTGACGGAAGCCACCATATCTACAATGACCGTACAGTCCTGGGACTCCACCAACATGGGTGGATGCGAGTTAGGCACAGACATTGGCAAGGCACTCGGCCGGCCGGGCCTGCTTTTCGTGAAATTGCCCTGACCGTACAAGGAAGGCACGCCTCGGGCAAACAAAGCACTCACTGGTGCTTGCAAACCCACGAGACCATCGTCCCCGGATAGTGGATGGATGGATAGAGTGGTTAGAGTGCGGCAAGGCACGCGACAGGGCCTGCCCACTGTAGAGATCATTGTTCATCGACAGTGGGCGGATGGTTAGAGTGTAGCAAGGCACGCGACAGGGCCTGCCCACTGGCTCGACCATCGTCCATCTGCAGTGGATGGATGGTTAGAGTGTGGCAAGACACGCGACAGGGCCTTCTCACTTAAGCGACCATCGTCTATCGACAGTGGACGGATGGTTTGAGTGCGGCAAGGCACGCGACAGGGCCTGCCCACTGGCTTGACAGTAGCCGCCGCATATCCGCCATGTCCGCGTCGTCCATCGAAGGGGTTGGATGCCAGTTACATGTACTTGTAGTTGTAGGTACCGAGGTTGGCAAGGCATTTGTAAGGGCCTTCCCAATGGCGTGAAGGAAGCCGTTTGTTGATGTTGTTATGCGCAAGGCGCAGAGGTTGGCAATGCACCCGACAGAGCCTGCGGAACTCGTGAAGGCCGCCCTGACCCAACAGGGAAACCGTGACTCGGGGCAATGAAACAAGGCGCTCGTCGGCGCTTGCAAACCCACAGAACCGCAGCGTCTCCATCAGCATTGGCCACCGAAAAGGCCGAAATTTCCATATCGGCACAAACAAGTTTATTCAGCACTTACCCAGTGCCGGACAGCATGCATGACGATCGGGTAAGAACTCTTACTAGTCCTAGGCTGGGACTGCGAGCTTCAGCTTCGGAGTCATCATTAGAAAATAAATACTGCCCTAGCGGCAGTAGAAGATTTACTGAAGTCTCAAGGATACTAGACAAAGGAAAAAAGGTAACCTATCAGCAAAGAAGCTAAAGAAAAGGCCAAAGAAAGCAAGAGGTGCTAGGTGCAATCAAGGCGTGCATTTGCATTTTTACCTTTAAACCGCTGGAAATTTATGGAAAACTAGAGCGATTTGAGGCCAAACACACTGTCACATTCGAAGGCGAAGCTCCGAAGTGTAATCTCTTTTCAGAGGACGTTCTGGCTGGTAGATTGTACTTTTTTATTTACTTGAAAAGCACGTACCCACCAGGAAAGCTGACAAATAAAACAAGAATGGATTCGGATGGAGAGCCAAGGTTTAATTTACACAAAAGAGAAAGACCGTTAGTGGACACCATTTCGTAACTTGTGGGTTCCTTGGTCCTTTCTCTTTTGTATAAAGAAAACAAGAGCACGACAAGACAGATAAAAAGAGCGCTGAGAGAGAGAGAGAGAGAGAGAGAGAGAGAGAGAGAGAGAGAGAGAGAGAGTAAGAGAGAGAGGAGAGAGAGAGAGAGAGAGAGAGAGAGAGAGAGAGAGAGAGAGAGAGAGAGAGAGAGAGAGAGAGAGAGAGAGAGAGAGAGAGAGAGAGAGAGAGAGAGAGAGAGAGAGAGAGAGGTCAGGCAATATTTTTGCATGCCGAATTGCCGATCTTGATAGAACGGAGACTGATTTCAACTGATCCAGCATACAGTTACAAGCAGTGCTCGCTTTGTGTTATTGGACAGGATGGGTGACAAGATTACGGAGTCAGAAGCGGACATTGTCGACGATGCAGAGACGAAAATATAACAAAGATAGAAATAATAATAATGTCTATCTTCAAGAAGGCACTGAGTACATCGAGCACCTTATATCCCTAAGGGATATTCGACAACCTGACACCTAGCACCTACATGTAGGTCCAACACATCTGCGAAGCGCAAACCACAACCTTCCAACGTTGGAGGCTCAGGTGCAGAAGGTTCCAATGAGGGGAAGGGATGCGCAACGAAGATGTGCACGAACTACTTCGAAGTATTATATGTCCCTCAGCTACGTCCATGTCCGTTCCTGATGAGTGAAGTAACAGTTAGTTAGATTTTCTCAAATCACTTGTCGTCACCACAGTGCGACAGATATTCGTTTTACCGTTGCAGAGAGGTGCATGAAACAATAGCATGGTCAAACCACGAAGGTTCCACTTTAGTGCACAAGACGTAACCATTTAAACCAGCGGACATGGCCAGCATCTGACCTCAATACTGCATGGTAAGTGGTGGGTATTTCAGGATCAATGTTAGGAACACTTTTCTCACCGGAGATTGGGTTTTACAATCGTGGAAACTGGAAAGCTGAGAGACTCCTCAGAAGACCTGTATACACAGTAGAAACAAAAGTCGTGATCGCATTTTGTTTACTACGTTCACAAAGCAGGAGGCATTCGTAAGCAGTTATAGAAATACCAAGAAATAGAGAGACGGAGATAGAGGGAGATAGCTAGATAGATAGATAGATAGATAGATAGAGAGAGAGAGATAGAGAGAGAGAGAGAAAGAGAGAGATAGATAGAGAGGGAGAGAGAGAGATAGAGAGGGAGAGAGAGAGAGAGATAGAGAGGGAGAGAAAGAGAGAGATAGATAGAGAGGGAGAGAGAAAGATAGAGAGGGAGAGAGAGAGAGAGAGAGATAGAGAGGGAGAGAGAGAGGAGAAAAAAGAAAGAGGGAATAGGATGTATACTTCAAGCACCCCCTCCCCCCCCCCCCCCCCCGGAATCGATCCGGTTGGTCAGATCGTCACCGGACCAACCTGTTGGCAACTAACGCATGTTTCCTGGTGAAGAGGTTATAATGATCACTAGCACTATGAATTGATCATACACAAAGTACGACAGGCTACGGTATGGCCGGACTCTGGGATCAAAACCTGCTTCCGGCGGTTCTGTCAAGAGGGAGTATAACTTACCCATTATTATTGTTGTTATTCACACACATATGCGCCGGATGAGTACGTGAGGCTCATGCAGCATGCAGATCCACTAATAGACACTAATACAACCAGCATGTTATATGCCGGCAAAGACTCAATCTGCGGACAGAACTGTTTCGTCCTTTGTGGACTCATCAGCGCAGCACAGAGGACATGAGACCGAACCTGGTAGCAATGAAAAACAAATTTTCCAAAGCCAGATTTAAACCAGGCCCGAACGTACCTTGCCAGAGTGCTCAAACTGACAAGTCAGTGAGCTCTGGATAACGCAAACAGCAATAAACCGGCAAAGAGATCTGAGGGCACAGGGAAGGAAAACGAAGCGGAGAGAAAGGAGAGTATAAGTTCCTTGGCGCAGTCAGGGGCTTTTTCTTCTTCACGTATTTTAAAGACATGTCCAGGGTAGAACATGGTAAAAGACGCCCTCACTACATGGACAGACAGTACTGCCGGACGGCCCAAACGAGCAGGCTAGGTTTTCGGGCCAAGCACAGCATACCGATAATTATTATACGCCTGTGACTCAACTATCACTTACTGTGCATAGACCTGTACACTCGTGATAGAACACGTAGTGCTGTACAATCATGATAAAACTATAATAATACTAATATAGTACGCGTAGTGCTGTACAGTCATGATACGTGTAACGTTGGTACTGTAGCGTAGTGCAGCCATGGACAGCACTCCAGAACACCTTGAAAATAATTCTAGGCTTGGTAGATCTCGAGCTCTAAAGGCAACAACAGCAGCCAGGAGTATGCTTACCTACGGTCAAGAATATCCTGGAAGGTACGCGAATGTGATCACCTGCAGCCAAGTAATCAGTACTATCCGTAGTGATGTCCCATACGTGCAGAAACTCGACTTCCGTGAAGCGAGTTGCAGGTCCTAGCGTTCCCCTAGCTTCCTGGCACCATACGTGTTACTGTAATTCAGTTCTGTGAACAGTGTCAAAGGAGGACCTGTCACCGTCGAAAAGAAGTAAATAGTGCTAGCTCACACACACATCCACTCTACAGACAACCGGAGGTAGCTGTTGCTGTTGGTGTAAACACTAAGAACAAATCAATACGTATAGGCGCAGACTACTAAAACTTGCACGTAGCAACTCTATGAGTATGACTATGGGCAGTTGGAGTTGGGTTCTTTCACGAAAACGACTGAAGTAAGATCAAGAGCGCCCCATCCACTACAGTGCATGCGGTATCCGTGCCAGTGCCAGTGGGCGTATTGTGTGTGCTAGGCCATAGGTTCCACACATCAGTCATCAGAACAATACTGTCAAGAGTGCCCGAGCTGTAGAGTAAAACTCAACATCCTAAGAAGACAAGACAGCTGAAGAATGGAGATCGCGGCGAGCAGCATGTATCTGCAACACACACAACTGCCCAGCATCACGTGTCATTTGTTCGATCCTTTGTTTTCCGCTGAAGCATGACAGTGATAGTGGAGCTAAGCCGCAGCAAGTGGCTCGAGTCCTAGAGATTCCCTGTATCGGAGAACAAAAGGCCGTGGCGGCTTATACTAGATCTTACACTTGCTCATTGAATCAAATAATCGGTCTGACCAAGTAGCCTAGTAGCTGAATCAAATTGTGGTGGCTGTATGACGTCAATGTAGTTGGCTGGACTTCAACTTACTTGTCATTGTGTAGCAGAGTATCGTGTGTGATCTTGGCCAACAAGAAGCGCACTTTACCTCGCCCAGTGCCTCTCAGGGCATTGACGTCAGCAATCTAAGGACCTAGTACTAGCTCCTGTTCAAGCATTTTGTGTAGCATTGTTGACGCTCTAGTGTATCTAGGGTGCAAAGCTGAGAACAATACGACAATACGATATTCCCGTTGTCATTGTAGATGTCAACACTAGGCCCCTGGAAAGAAAAATCACCTCTCAGCACCATCTATAGAATAGAGTATAGAATAGAGCATAGAGTATAGCCTATACTATAGGTCAACTACAGTGTACTAGTATTGTTTTGTGAGGCGATTGATCTGTGACAGACCCGGCCACAATAACAATTGGAAAATTAACATTATTCTTCACTGCGCCTGTTCCACACAGTGACACATGCACCCACCTACACACACTGTGACACAGGCACACCTACATGTGAGTGCGGAAATTCCTATTTTCATGCCACTATGATTCTAATCCTGTCAGCTGGGCACGAATTCCGTGGCGTAAGGTTACCAAACAACGTCTTTCCAACAGTTTTGTTACATGCACGCAGGAATGACAAGGTGCTGTAACTGGCTTACACGCAGCTACAACTTGCAGTAGTAGCATGGCCAAGGAGTTAGGAGTTTAGGACATATTTGCACTACTCCCTTCCAACAAGAGTAAATAGGGGGGGGGGGGGGTTATGTGCCCTTGCTGCTAGCTAGCACTTAGCACAAGTTAGCAGTTCATACTCATACTGAGTCATAGTGGTGTGCGACGTCACATGTGTATTGTAAAGTGATAATGAGAGCATCAGTGTCATTGTCTTGGGGTGTGAACGCATTGACCATGCAGACACCTATCACAAGGGATGTGTGAAAAGGAGGGAAGGCCGATCGTAGCTATTTCTCAAGGCAAGCTGCGCTGAAAGGTGAACTCACACACTAGCCAGTGAATGCACAAATAAAGCAAAAAAACACGATACAGCTGTAACTGGTCCCTGGCTAATGCGTAATGGGGTATACAATGACTATGTGTACATGCACATGCACATGATTGGTTTCCTTACCACTATTAAATTTTTGACATTGTCATGGCTGTCCTAAAGACTAGCCAGCACATTGAAGAGCTGGAATCTGCCAGAGTAGAGTAGACTAGTATAATACTCACCGTTTATGAATACATGTGTTGTATACTACAGCCGTACAGGCCGGGTTTCTCATGATTAGTGTGACGGCATAACGGCAGACTTGCTGCCAGGAGCTTCTGCACGAGCTGGGTGGTCTCTTTTAATTCTTTGCTGACAGCGTGCCAATTCCTCTTCTCCCTTTCTGGACGATGGTGACAGCAGCAGTTCAACTGTTGTCACCGGTATGTACGGCTGGCTGCCAAGCCAGCTAATCAGCCATATAACACGTTGCCGTGTGGTTAGGCAAGAAACAAAAGGCAATGTTCCCATGTGGCTCGTGCCCGACGGCTTGGTGTGAATTATTTTACTCCAGACTCCGTTCTCGCGGGATGTAGTGAGCTTTCTGACATTGTTGAACAATACATGTACAGCCATGTAACTGCATACCGTCTTGACAGCGGGCACATCACATCTACTGCGTTGAACACTCATTAGTTACATTGTTGCCCTCCTGAACCTACAGGTATGTAGCTCCAAATGCCACCTCCCAAAGGCGCAAGGCGTTGCAATGGCTACAATGCTAACTTACAGTCGGGTGAAATGTTACAATCATACGAGCCCGAGGCCGAACGGATCGCATCCAATGTCGTTGTATGCGATCCGTTCGGCCTCGCACCGCGGGTGATTCGCCTTTATGAGAGCAGCGGCGTTCTTGGTGACCTGGTTGTACAACGCTATTGTGCTGTCAACGTACCGTCAACTGGGCCATGGTCTTTCTTTCTGCAGCACTAAAGCGCGAAAATGTTCAGGAAGCACTTGTATTGTTCAACTCACAATAGATCTGACATGTAAGTCGGTGGCGATTGACGCTTCTAGTTCATCTCCTAGTTCTCACTCCGGCCGGTGTCAGCCATCATTGTTATCCGTACACATTCATACTAGGACTCAGCAATACAATATACGGCACCCTAGGAGCTGTCATCGTCACCAGTCCATTACCAAAGTACAGATCACATGCTTGCGAGATGGCCTTTGGCATTGGCTTTGGGACCTCTGGTTATTTCTCCCTTCTTGGCCCGGCCAGTCGTGGTCGTGCAGGAGGTGAGGGCGATCGGTATTTAGCGGGGAATGACGGCAGCGACACCTCAACTGCACCGCCGACAGATGGGATAGGTTAACAAGCACACATTGACCAGTAGAGTGTAGGTGAAGGTAATTATGAACACCTTCAGACACTTGTCCCGATTTCTACAGGGCTGCCGCACCCCATCATGGCAGTGAGGATGGCTCCTTTCGGCACGCCATGGCAAGGAGTCGCACTGCCGTCATCGGTTAGGGAAATGGTCTGTTTCGCCATGCGTTGTCACGACAAGTTCGACCTGGAAACGATTAGCTGTCTGTGCACAGATTTCAGGTTTCCCATTACCCACATGCACTGGGTGATGGAGCACAGGTGGTAGTGCTGAGTGAGTGTGATGATGACCTGATCAATTCGAAATCCGTTTCCTGGGTCGGCCCTCGCTTCGGGCTACGCTCCAACACAGAGAGCACGATATCGCGATGGCTATTTGCAGGACACATCAGCTGGGCCATGGGGCAGATTGTATTGCTCACCCCAGTCACGTTCACCATCACGGGGGGGGGGGGGGATTATTGTAGTCTTGAGCTAACGTAAGTCGTTATCATGTACATGTACATGTACATACATTGTAGTCATTGTACGTCACACAGTCCAGAGTTATGCATGTAGTTCATCCCTCATCCCGTGCATCACCCAGTTCCCCACGCCCAGTTTGAATATGAAAATACTATAATAATAGTAGTGGCCAACTTCTCACAGAGTTATGGGATTATAGTCTTCTCAGGAAAACTTGATGATGATCGTGATCTCCAAAGTCCAAACGAGTGCTGATGCTAGGCTAGGCTTTGTTACTCTCAATACTCTGCTGCCATGTGGCCATGGTGCGGTGTCGTTCCTCCTCCACCTGACTATCACTGCGGGCCAGTGCACACTTGTTCAGTTGCTACATGCACATTACACATGTACATGTAACAGTTATATGATTGTATATCCAGACCAAGGCGAGGCATGCTCGACTGTTTCCCTTCCTTATGTCAAGGAAACCGTTTGCAACCGCCAAGTTTATCATGCATAACAATCATTGTTCATATCGGAAGGTACCTTTCCCCGTTACATTTTTTAGACTCTTTCATAGTGTTCTCTTCTCGTCCTTTCCCCTTTATGTTTGCAATATTAGGTGTTGAGGTAACGAAGTGAAACAAAAGTCAGGTTCGCACATCCGCATTACTACCGGCTATCCAATTGTGCTAAAAACCACCAACGAGCTCTGCGAAGTTTCGCTTGTGCCAGGCCACCACCATACCTGATTACACCAGAGTGGCAGATGCAGCGAGGTTGAGGTGAAAAGTCTCACAAGCAATGGCAATGTCCGGCAAGGGGGGGGGGGGGAACCTCGTCCGTAACCCTCGGGTCACTCCGACTCCGAGTAGTGAGTACCCAGTTGACCGTGACGCGTGCCCGCGGCGTGAGTTCCCGCGCAGTTCATAGCATTGGGTGGTTCACGCCTACATCATCGCATTTGTTAGCACAGCACGCTCCCTGCTGTCAGAGTAGGTCTTGAACTCCGGACCTAGTGCCATGTGATCCTGATGCAAGCCCACAACCGCTCGGCCAAAGCGCTGGTCCACGAAGTGAAACAATGCAAACAAAATATACGTCCAAGTAGAACAATATGCCACCTTGTGGAAACCAGCTGGTCTGATGGGTGCCATTGTTTCTGATCATCAACCCCAACAAAGGTAAAACAACAGTCAGTGGTGACTGGACTGGTGACTGGTGAGTCTCCGGAGAAAAAGGGTGCAGACGTTTCATTGTGTAGGAATCTTGATACCAAATAATTAAATTTTGCAGTCCGCTACGAGTCCGGGCAGGCACAGTGGGTTGGTCAAAGACCATGATTGAGATACGAGAGGTACCAGGTTCAAGTCCTGCCTGGGATCAGTTTTTCCAGCCGGGCTGCTACCCACAGTCAGCTGGGAACTTGTGGCCAGGCACAAGGGGTACATGGATGCAGCTAATGGGGTCGTTCTCGGCACTTGTGCCAGTGGTTGTGAGACTTATCCACTCACCCCACCGTTAGGCGCTGCATCTGCCGCTAGGGTTTACCGGGTGTTAGCGGCCGTCGTGAGTTCCCTTCGGGAACGGACACGATAATTAACTTTTACTTTTTTTACGAGTCCGGATCTTAGACTCAGTCAGAGCCAACGAATGACGTGTCATGTCCTCGAATAAACAAGGCGTTTTGTCGAGCACCTACATGTACATGATCGTACATATTCTTGACTTGACCTACACTGTACATCTGCATGTAAC